CAGAGAATAGATTGCCTGCACTCCCAATTGCTCGACTCAACTGTCATTTAAATAAATAAATAAAAATTATTCACCAAATTACACAAAAAGTGACAACTGAAGATAAAGATAAGATAAATACAGGAAATAAAAAACCCATATACTGTTGATAAATAAATACCGAGTATAATTGGGCCACAACTGTGGCCCTGGTTCAAAGGCAAAACAAATGAATTGCATTCTGCCATTATAACCCAAAGGGACACGGGTGGCGCTGTGGGTAAAACCTCAGCGCCTAGGACTTGCCGATCATATGGTCGGCAGTTCGAATCCCCGCGGCGGGGTGTGCTCCCGTCGTTCGGTCCCAGCGCCTGCCAACCTAGCAGTTCGAAAGCACCCTCGGGTGCAAGTAGATAAATAGGGACCGCTTACCAGTGGGAAGGTAAACGGCGTTCCGTGTGCTGCGCTGGCTCGCCAGATGCAGCTTGTCACGCTGGCCACGTGACCCGGAAGTGTCTGTGGACTGCACTGGCTCCCGGCCCATAGAGTGAGATGAGCGCACAACCCTAGAGTCTGGCAAGACTGGCCCGTACGGGCAGGGGTACCTTTACCTTTACCTTTATTATAACCCAAAATCCTAGGGTGAAGAAGGTTTATCTTTAATGTCAGATTGTTTAGAATTCCATTTACTTATAAACCACCTCCATGCTTTTCTAAACTTGCTAGCCTTTCTTTACACAGATGTAACATGTAATTTTATTCATAATACTGAGATTCCATACTTTTAAAAAGAACATTATTTCAGTCCTGGTGCATCCTAGGTTTCCCCACAATTAATGTGAATATCCTTACAAATATGAACAAGACAAGTTACTAATGTTAAGTTTGAGTTGTTGGGATATCTAACCCACAGGAAAAGGACCCAAGGTACGATAAAACACTTCATCCATTTTAAACTAAAAATAGAGTACAGTGGTACCTCAGTTTACGAATTTAATCCATTCAAGAAGTCCGTTCTTAAACTGAAACCATTCTTAAACTGAGGTGTGCTTTCCCTAATGAGGCCTCCCGCCGCCAGTGCCCTTCCATTGTTTGGATTTCATTCTTAGACCGAGGTAAAGTTTGCAAACCAGTACAGTGGTACCCCGCAAGACGAATGCCTCGCAAGACGGAAAACCCGCAAGACGAAAGGGTTTTCTGTTTTGGAGGCGCTTCGCAAGACGAATTTCCCTATGGGCTTGCATCGCAAGACGAAGGCCGGCGGGGGGCAAAAGTCTTTGCTCCCCCCCGCCTGCCTTCCCCCCGCCTGCCCCGGGCGATCTTAAAATGCTGGCGGGCGGGAGCGAAGCGTTCGCTGCCGACCCCCAGCATTTTAAAATCTCCCCGTGTCCCGGGAAGGTTTTAAAATGCTGGGGGTCGGGAACGAAGCGCTGCTGACCCCCAGCATTTTAAAATCTGGGGGTCGGCCCATTTTAAGATCGGCCCCTGCTTGGGGGAGATGCCGGCAAGCCTTGCGCGCAAGGCTTGGGGCGGCAGCCTGCATCCCGAAGCAGGGGGTGAGCTGCGGAGCCCGCCCCCTGCTTGGGGGAGAAGCCGGCAAGCCTTGCGGGCAAGGCTTGGGGCGGCAGCCTGCATCCCGAAGCAGGGGGTGAGCTGCGGAGCCCGCCCCCTGCTTGGGGGAGATGTCAGCAAGCCTTGCGCGCAAGGCTTGGGGCGGCAGCCTGCATCCCGAAGCAGGGGGTGAGCTGCGGAGCCCGCCCCCTGCCTGGGGGAGATGTTGGCAAGCCTTGCGTGCAAGGCTTGGGGCGGCAGCCTGCATCCCGAAGCAGGGGGTGAGCTGCGGAGCCTGCCCCCTGCTTGGGGGAGATGCCGGCAAGCCTTGCGCGCAAGGCTTGGGACGGCAGCCTGCATCCCGAAGCAGGGGGTGAGCTGCGGAGCCCGCCCCCTGCTTGGGGGAGATGCCGGCAAGCCTTGCGCACAAGGCTTGGGGCGGCAGCCTGCATCCCGAAGCAGGGGGTGAGCTGCGGAGCCCGCCCCCTGCTTGGGGGAGATGCCGGCAAGCCTTGCACGCAAGGCTTGGGGCGGCAGCCTGCATCCCGAAGCAGGGGGTGAGCTGCGGAGCCCGCCCCCTGCTTGGGGGAGATGCCGGCAAGCCTTGCGCGCAAGGCTTGGGGCGGCAGCCTGCATCCCGAAGCAGGGGGTGAGCTGCGGAGCCCGCCCCCTGCTTGGGGGAGATGCCGGCAAGCATTGCACGCAAGGCTTGGGGCAGCAGCCTGCATCCCGAAGCAGGGGGTGAGCTGCGGAGCCCGCTCCCTGCTTGGGGGAGATGTCGGCAAGCCTTGCGCGCAAGGCTTGGGGCGGCAGCCTGCATCCCGAAGCAGGGGGTGAGCTGCGGAGCCCGCCCCCTGCTTGGGGGAGATGCCGGCAAGCCTTGCGCGCAAGGCTTGGGGCAGCAGCCTGCATCCCGAAGCAGGGGGTGAGCTGCGGAGCCCGCCCCCTGCTTGGGGGAGATGCCGGCAAGCCTTGCACGCAAGGCTTGGGGCGGCAGCCTGCATCCCGAAGCAGGGGGTGAGCTGCGGAGCCCGCCCCCTGCTTCAGGCAGATGTCGGCAAGCCTCGCATGCCCGGCGGGAGGTCCCGCTTAGCCCGCTGTTCCGAAGCGGGGAGGGGGGCGGGAAGACCTGCCCCAGCCGCCCCACTTCGGAACGCTGTTCCGAAGCGGGGAGGGGGGGCGGGGACACCTGCCCCAGCCGCCCCACTTCGGAACGCTGTTCCGAAGCGGGGAGGGGGGGCGGGAAGACCTGCCCCAGCCGCCCCACTTCGGAACGCTGTTCCGAAGCGGGGCGGGGGGCGGGAACACCTTCTGAAGGCGGGCAGGGGGCGAAAGTATTTGTCCCCCCTGCCTGCCTTCCCAGGGGCTTTTAAATCGCCCCGGACAGCGGAGAAGTCCTCCGCTGTCCGGGGCGATTTTAAAATGCCGCCCGCCAGCATTTTAAGATCGCCCCGGACAGCGGAGATGTCCTCCGCTGTCCCAGGGTTTTTTAAAATGCTGGGGGTGGGAAGAAAAGCCCTTGTCCCCCCCCCAGCCTTCAGAAGAGGTCCGGGGACAGACTGTCCCCGGACCTGGTCTGAAGGCGGTTTCCCTAGGAACGCATTAATTGATTTTCAATGCATTCCTATGGGAAACCGTGCATCGCAAGACGAAAAAACCGCAAGACGAAGAAACTTGCGGAACGAATTAATTTCGTCTTGCGAGGCACCACTGTACACTACTTCCGGTTTTGCGGAGTTCATAAACTGAATTGTTCGTAAACAGGACTGTTCTTAAACCGAGGTACCACTGTATATATGATCAAAGCTGTACCACCCCCACCATTTCACCAACTATCAAAAGAAAAACACATCACCTGTGGCTTGGAATCCATTACAAACCTGCACATTTTGTATTAAAAATAGCACTATCTGGATGTGAGTTTCTTTCATACAATTCATATCACATGAGAGAGATTAAGGATAATCATGCTAGACTCTGCCCTCTGTCACATCAGCATCCCACTCCTGCTGCCTATCATATGTTGGAGATTAGCATCTGCAGTAGGGAGCCTGTTCACCTTACATAGTCTTTGCACAAGATTTAGCACTGCAAATCCTGTGTGTGTGTGGTGGGCTGTCTATGTGAATACAAGAGGCCCTCAATGCACACATTTGCCCTCCAATAAAAGGTGGGTGGTAGGTATGGACAAACGCTGAAGATGCAAATGCTAACTTGAACTACATGACTCACAGTAGGTTTCTAGAGTGCCCGTACTTCATCCTTTCAGAGCATTGTGGAGTTCAGAAATATATTAAAGCTCAGCTAAAAGCAGGCAAGTGTAGATCTTTAAAGGTGCTGGGCAAAACATTTTACTTGAAACAGAACTCTTCTGGTGAGAAGAGTTAAATATTGTAAGTAAGTGAACTTGAAATCAGTGTTTGAGATATATTATCCTTCTATCACGGTCCTTTTAAATAATATCCTAAAATGAAAAAGGAAAACTAAAATAAATCAAATGTATTGAGAATATTGACTGTCCCCTAAACGGGCTCTTCCTTTGAACATCTTGTTGCCTAAAAATTAATGCACTCCAAGTTAGTGGGAAGGAAAATGCCTGTGTGAGTCAACCATAGAAACATTGCATGTTCTCAATTTGCTGCAAGGCTGCCTGTTGCACAAAAGAAAGTGGCCTAAGCAAAGGACAAAGTGATTTAGAATGCTATGATGGAAATTCTTCATAACTTCAAATTTCCCCCCATAATAGTATGCTCTCAAAATGTGTTGTTTTTTTTTACAATGAATAAAAACCAGAGTTTGTTCATGTGTATATTAACAGTCAAATATTTATGTTGCTAAACAAGGTAAGTTCAAAAAAAGGGGGGTGGAATGAAGATTGTCTTGTGGCACCTAGGCAAATGTAGTCTTCTGACCACTGTACGGTGACATTTATTAACCTTTACGATGCCTTTATAATAAGCTTCATTGGTTTTGCTTCCTTAAAGGCAGGCCTGATCTACCAAACAGAAGAGCATATACTGGAATTCTTGAGAGCAAATATTGTTCATGGCATAACATGCTCCAGAAAAGAGCACACCTTGTTCATTTAAACAAAGATCATGCCACAATCCAACTACTATTTAAACTTGGGAAGCTTCAAAAGCAGCTTACAATGTGGCATGGTTAATGTTTGGCATTAGGGAAAAGAGGATGTATAAAGGCATACACACATGGACACCACATTCAGAAAAACAACATCTTGATGGGTGTTCCATCTACCTATCAGGGCTAACTCCATGTATTAAATATAGACTCTGAGGGAACATATAACCTAAAATAACTAATGTCATAATCCATTTTTCAGTATCATGTTAATGTATCTATGGGTATTAAGTTTCTTAAAGAAGTCTGATTTTGTTTTTATTAATTTCACAATTATTCCCTTCCTAATGCAGCAAATGCCTTTTGCAATATTGGAGTGAGATCCTTACCCGTGCTTTTTGTTCCATCTCCATCATCAATCTTTCATGTTGTTCAGCTATTGCCAGCGTTGCAGAATGGACTTTCTGATAGATCATCTCGCCTTCCCTTGTTTGAAAGGTGAACAGCCCTTCTCCTGTGTCGCACATCCTAGAAAAAGTTCTAAATTAATTAATTTATTTTATAACGCCTTGATAAAATAAACATGCATAGTTGGGTTCTTCTGGTATTCATATTGCTAATGAATTATTATGGCAATGGGTGCACAGTATTATTCTGTCAATAGACCAATGGATTTCTAATGACATAGGCAAAATTTAGTCTTGACATTAAAGCTGCTTTGAGAACCTTAAATCCATGCATTTAACTTGTGCACATTCGGCTTTACATGTGTGAGAAAAAGAAAGATAAAAAATTTAAAGGGGCAGAAAAATAAAGTCTGTGGTCTTTATGTCACCCTCAAAGAGACAACACCCTATGGTCTTTCCTTTTTGGTGGCAACCTTGCTGAAGGTGTGCCTGCTGCCCAAGGCAGCATTCCTGTTATGTTCCTGGCCAAGGAAGATGATACAGTTAGGCAGGGGCTGATGACAACCCTACAAGGAGGCAGCAGAGTCACTGTAAAAGGCCACAGAGTATGGGCAAACATATGTCAGTGTTCATCTCTTTATTTGTCTGGGTTGATGTCTGTTCTCGCTCTCCCACTCCGACTGGCGGTCTGATGCTGGAACTAGTTCTTTAAGGTTCAGGCATCCACCATTTTATGCCCTGGCCAACAAAAATGATGCTATCAGCTACAGATTGCTGTAAAACTGTTGAGTCAGGTGGGCAGTCCAGGATAACAGTTTCAAACATCAGAATTATCTGTCTTTTGCCTGGAAGAGTTTGCACATTTTTTTAAAAAGGAGATCAAGTTCTACTTCCAGCCTACTTTCACTTGCTTTTCATATTGAATTTCAGCTTCTCCCACGGACAAAGACCAGATCATTCACACCACTCAGTTTCAGAGTGACCAGCTTCCTATATTACCATATTTATAGAACAGGGGTGGCACATGTGCCAGATTGTTGGCCCTTGTGTGTGCGTGTATATATATATATATATATATATATATATATATATATATATGCTTTCGTAGATTTTATATGTATGTATTTAAAAATGCAATTGGCTCATTCACTTGAGTCAAGGAAGGAAGGAATGAATAGGAAATGGTAGCTGCCACAGTGACTATGAAAAGTGTATTTGAAGATTGCTGTCTGTAAGTGCAACTGTGTTTGGACAATCATACCTTATCTTAGTCAACCCATATACACATCCGACATTTGCCCATGTACACTGCCTGTCCCTTCCTCTGTTCATGATAACCATGATTAAACTGGAAAAACTCTAATTACTCATAGTTTGGGTAAGATTTAAGTTGCCACAAAAACTCAGGTTAGCATAGATTTAGCAGAGGGAAGCTTTGTGGCCCCAGTCCATTTGCCTGCACGTTCTCCATTGGCATGTGAAAGAATTTTCCAAGTCCCATTATGTCATCGAGCACCCAAAATAAAAAAGTTCCAGTTGGAATTTTCCCACTTACACTGTTGTGGAAATACAATTATACCAGTGCTATACGGCTACAATGATAGGAAAAAAGCCAGGAGCTATACAAGGAAAATAATTTTCAAAAACAACAACAACAAAAAACAAAAAACAAAACCAAACAGCAAAGAGCACTGAGGCTGTGCTGGTAGGGTGAGATAGTCAATAAAGAAAAGGTTAAAGCACATAAAAGTTCACAATAAAAGCTTGCAAAGGTTAACAAGTAAAGATGAGAGTGAAGCCAACCAAAGTTGAGCAGGAAATGCAATTAATCAAAGCAGCATATCTTGACAGCAGACAAGCCCTATAGGTGAAAAAAAGGTCATAGAAAAAGTAGAGAAGACCTGTAAATCAGCGATGACACAGAACAAAGATTAACAACAGGAAGAACATGGAGTAAGTAAAGGGCAATGAAGAGAACACACAGATCTAAGTAGTTCAGTGTCTGGTCTGTTCTAAAAGGTGTGATATAGTCATTCTCAGCTGCCTCCAATCCATTAAACTCAAGAAGTACTTGACAAGGTCCAAAAGTTCTACTGCTTCACAGGAGGGTTCTGTCCATGTGATACACATTTGAAATTTCCAAGAAAGATTAAAAACATGTATCTTGGATTCAGGAGTGAACTCACTAGTAAATATTGGTCCTGCTTTTGTGACTCAATGTGTTGCTCATAATCATTAGTTTGTGGACTTCAGTATATGAATTCCTCTTGCTTTGAAGTTCATCGGGCTGAAGTTGACAGAGGCAATAGTTAAAGAGGTGGGAGGACCATTGGAAGCTGGTTTCACAGCTATTCTATTTGTTCAAAACTATGATTCTTAGGGCTTATGGAACTAACATTATAACCCCCTTTTTAGGTGATGAAGAGTCAGGAAAAACTCAGAAAAGTTCAATTGTACTTGTCTGGAGCAACCATTCCTAATCTTGAGTAGTCCTGGTTATATATGTTGTGGGCTTATTTATTTATTTATCTGTTACTCAATAGGAAGGTTCTTCTGTCTTGCTTACTTTCTGTTGTTAGTGTTCCAGAAAAATATAATGCTGCTCTCAGGGATAAAATCCAATTTCTACAGTCTTTCTTTGTAAGTTCATAGTAACAGTAGACCAACGCCCCCACTCCAAACACAAGCATGGCTTGGGTGTTTTTCACAAAGCTGGGCAGTGACACAAATGCTTTCCATCCTGTATGAGGAACGTTCAAAGGGGCACTTCACAACAACCACCTGCTGGTACACATGGGTCACCTGGTGCACTTTACAGGATATTATACATAAAGCAATGTGTAAAAAGAGTTTTCCTTTTCACTGGGGTAAGGCATTCCATGTCTGGTAGTTTCATCTTCACATCACTCCTCCTCTATCCATGCAAAACAGAAATTTTAAAATATACTTATTATATAAAATAACATTTTATGGCCCCATGTTTTAATAATGGTTTTATCTACTGTTGTTATTTTAATAGTTATGGGCTTATTCTATAGATTTATTTTGAAGGGTTAGCTACAAAACCTAAAGTTATACTAAGAAAGTTTTCATGAGACAGATGTTAGCCAATTTGAACTGACATTTCCCAATCTGGTTTTTAGAGGGCAGATGCTAACCTTTAAACCCCCCTTTGGATAAGCTGAAAACTATGCCAACTTGGCAGGTTTCTTGAATCCCTCTCAGAAATATCAACTGAAGATGGAAAAGAAACCAATAAGGAGGATACCAATACAGTAAGGAGAGGATGTGAAGTACAATATTAAGATGCGGACATAGGAGCTAATCTTTGTATGGGTATATTTGTTTGCATGATGGATACATGTCATACTTGTGGCTAATATCGCTCTATATTTTGCACTTACTTCTTCTAAAACAGCATGTCATATACCACATAATGCCCCCTGCCCTCCCATAACCTGGCCAGCTCAGAAATGGCACTTGCATACTACTGATCTGTCAGGCAGCACAGTGTGAACTTCAAAACTCAATGGCCAGCTGGTCCTCAGCCTTCACAGTTCTATCTGGAAAAGAGCCACAAGAGATTTCCCTCCCCTCAGCACTGTAATTACTGAGGAGATCACTAGACAGCCACCTTAGAAGTGCCTTCAAATTCACTGGTGCTCTGCTTGGGCTACACAACACTACACTACAGGCTTGGTCAGGAACGAAGTTCAGCTTAGGTCAAAACAGATCAGAGTCATGTGTCACCTCTGTGCTGACCAGCCTCCCTTCAGTCTTTCTAGCACTGTGGAGAGAGACACCCCAGGAAGCCTCTGAATTATTTCAAAGGTCTCTGAAGTTATGGAAGTGTTGAAAGATCTCTCAGCTCAGATGTGGTGCACAACTCTGCAGGGAGTATTGTGCTATCTGTACTATTCCCCCAATAGGAATAGTATTGACTGTGGAGGTAGATACAGCATGCTTATGAACAAATTAAGTATTCAGAGAGCCCACCAACTTCAAAACATGAAGTTTACCTTAAAAACACAACACCTTTGCAATAAAACATGAACATAGACTGAGGAGTGCTTCCCCCTCCAACCACCAGGTATTCATTAAGAAACCGTATTAAACTTATCTATATTACATGCTGCACTGAATAATAATATAAACACACAAACAAAAGCAGGCTGGTGAAGCTAATTATCTATACAGTTTTAATGATGCACCCACCTTTTCCAGAGATGGAAGCAGTGGAGCAAACTAACATGTTGTCAGATAATTAATCCTCGAGAATTATAAAACCCAGTGCAATGGAATGAATTATACATATTATTTAGCACACCTTGCCTGGCTTTAGTGCTTCTGCTTAACAAAGGCAAAATAACAGTACACACGCACAAATTCAGGAGTCATAATGGCATATTCCAAAATCTGAGCTTCTTTCCTATGTTAGAGCAATCATTTATTAAGCTTATATTAGTCTTAAAATATTGTATTATTTGGACAAGAAAAAAATGTTATCCTTGTTACCTTCTTATCCTCACCACAAATATGACAATTACATTCCTTCAAAAATGAAGAGAATCTCATGATAATAAATAAAATACTTAACTACCTCCAATGTTACAACTTCAAATAGGAAATAAAACCATCCTAGGATGGTTAAGAACCATAGTGATGTTTTTATTATGTTTTTAGATTTGCCATAAGCTGCCCAGAGTGCCTGGGGAAACCCAGCCAGATGGGTGGGGTATTGTTAAAATTATTATTCATACATATGATAGCACCAGGCAAACAGTTCCATGTCTACCACATTGTAGGGTACCTCAAAAGTTCAACATGTCAGGAAGCAAAAAACAGGGATTTCACCTACACCAGATATCAAGCCAGAAGAAGTGATGAGATTTGCTTCTTGGGTGAATTTAATTTATTTCATTTCATAAAATTTATACACTGCTTGATTGTAAAAAAACAACAAACCCTCAAAGCAGTTTACAAAAAAAGATAAAACAATAGAATTATCGAGAAAAAATTACAATACAAAAAGTTAAAATACCAAACAGGTTAAAAATCAGATCAACTTTCTAAGCATCATCTTTCTAAGCATCTAGGCAGGCTTGTTTAAACAATAATGTC